TGCAGATGAAGATGAAGATGTCGGGGGTGTCGAAAGCAGTGATGATGAGTACGTCCCATCGGATGAGGACTCAGATGACGACACTGATTTTGAGTCATCTTCTTCAGTCCCATATGTTTTCGACGACATAAGTGGATGGGACAAGACTTTAGAGGAAGTAGAAAACGATGGAATTAAAATGTGGGATGGCAATCCGTTGACGCTAGGCCTTGATATACATTTCGCCAACAAGCCTGAAGCACAAGCGGCAGTGGGAGAATGGAACTTGGTACATGGTCGGACTTTCCGGGTGAAAACGAGCTCTAAACGAACATGGTATGTCGAATGCGAGACGTGTGGACCTAAATATCCGAAAGAGCGCCTTCACGGCTATGATTGTCTGTGGAAGGCGCGAGTTTCGCTACAGAAGGCCACCGATACTTGGAAAATGGTGGTATGGTCCGATTCCCACAACTGTCTTGGGGCAAACAAGAGAAACGAGTCCCGAAATGTCACGTCTTCTATGATTGCTAGACTGGTTGCCCAAAATGTGCGAAAACATCCAGATTTTGCAGTTGCCCAAATTCAAATAGAAGTGATGAAGAGGTACCAAGTCGAATGTAGCTACAAGAAGGCATGGCATGGTAGAAGAAAAGCACTTGAGGCTCGTATGGTACATGGGAAAGTAATTTTCAACAATTGCCCAGCTTCCTCAATGCATTGTTCATGTCAAACCCGGACACTTGTGTGCAATTCAAGTTTAAGGAAAATTCAGGAAGCTCACAAAGGTTTGTATGTAGGTATGTTTTCGGGCATTTGGGCCATCTATACGCTTATTTCATGCTTGTTGGCCAGTAATAACCATCGATGCCACTCACTGCGAGGATCCTACAAAGGAAAACTAATTGTGGCATGCGTAAAGTGCGCAAATGGCACGACTGTTCCCATCGCATTTGCTCTTGTGGACGAAGAGACTATACACAGCTGGAAATGGTTTTTGAAGTATTTGAAAAAGTTTGTTCTACAGGATAGGAAGACCTGTATTATCTCTGATCGAAATCAGGGTATCCTTACTGCCATGGACATCATGTTGCAAAAATTCCCAGAGATGGGCGTCCACCGTTATTGTCTAGAGCATGTTAAAGCAAACTTGGTTGGGCATTTTCGAAAGGAGAAACTGCGAGGCAACTGTCAAATGATTGGTTCAGCGACGCAAAAGACAAGGTTCTTGGCAGAGTGGCAAAAATTAGAAGAAAAAAATGAGCCTGCTGCTCGTTGGCTTCAGAAGCTGGGTGTTGAGAAATGGACCTGTTTACACGATGGAGGGCATCGTTGGGGAGAAATGACCACTAACATCTCAGAGAGTTTCAATAATGTGCTGAAAGGTGCTAGATTCTTCCCGATCACAGCATTGATCCTAGCATCCTTTCAGAAAAGCAACAATCTGTTTCAGGCAAATATTGATATGATCCAAAAATGTCAGATTGTTCTACCTCCTACTCCAATGAAACTGTATGAAGAGGCCCGGAAGAAATCGTTGAGGCAAAAGGTCAACCGGTTTAGCAAGAGAAACCAGAAGTACGAAGTGGTTACAATAGCACCTGATAATCAACCATTGAAGGCTGACGAGAAGCAAGTTGTGCTGTATGCAAATCGAGAGTGCACTTGCGGAAGGTGGCAGACTTTCAGATATCCTTGTTCCCATGCACTTCGAGTTGCCCGTGAGCTAGGTGACGATCCCTTCCCACTTTTTGATCCATGTTACACTACGCATCAATGGTACCAACAGTTTCGGAGAATTCAACCCAATCATGGAACCATGGCCAAAGGCAACGTGGGCGATCAAGCCGATGACACTAAACTTGTCCACCATGCTGGCCGAGGTCGGAAGCGTGTGAATCGGAAAAAGGTGTGATGGATTATACAAGCAAATCGGCGGCGAAGACTCCAAACTTGCGTTTATGTAAGCTACAAGGCCATAATGCCGTGGCTTGCCCATATGCGAGAGTTTGCGCACGATGTGGAAGTTTAGATCATGATCTTTGTCGAATGCCCTTTTTCTCATCCACCTGCTGACAGGACCGGTATTGATAAACTGTATGATCCATATGGAATTCATGGTGTGCCTAATATCAATTTTGATGATGATGATGATGAAGCGTAGTGATTATTTTGTTTTAGTATGTTGGTTTGGATGTTTCTGTAATTTATATTAGTAATGTTTTTGTAAAACCGAAACGTCGCAGTTCATTTTAGTAATATTATTAATTATTACTATAGGATATATACATGTCGAATAAAGCACTAGTTATTTGATAAACACTAAAGGTAAGAAAATTAGTTATTTGTCATCACCGAAATTAATAATATATCCGGCTTAAAGAATAAACGACTAAAATTTTAAATTGGGGGAGTATTATTCTCGCGTTTGTGAAATGCGAAAAAAGGGGGAGTATTTTTCTCGCGTTTCTGAAACGCGAAAATAGGGAGGGTTAAAATATTTAATAAAATAATAATTAGATTAGAATAATAATATTAATCCGTATTTACTAAAATGTAGGTTTGGAATTTTGAATGTATAGGATAATTAGATTAGAATAATAATATTAATCTGTATTTACTAAAATGTAGGGTTAAAATATTTAATAAAATAATAATTAGATTAGAATAATAATATTAATCCGTATTTACTAAAATGTAGGTTTAGAATTTTTAATGTATAGGATAATTAGATTAGAATAATAATATTAATCTGTATTTACTAAAATGTAGGGTTAAAATATTTACTAAAATAATAATTAGATTAGAATAATAATATTAATCCGTATTTACTAAAAATGTAGGTTTGGAATTTTGAATGTATAGGATAATTAGATTAGAATAATAATATTAATCTGTATTTACTAAAATGTAGGGTTAAAATATTTAATAAAATAATAATTAGATTAGAATAATAATATTAATCCGTATTTACTAAAAATGTAGGTTTGGAATTTTTAATGTATAGGATAATTAGATTAGAATAATAATATTAATCTGTATTTACTAAAATATAGGGTTAAAATATTTAATAAAATAATAATTAGATTAGAATAATAATATTAATCCGTATTTACTAAAATGTAGGTTTGGAATTTTTAATGTATAGGATAATTAGATTAGAATAATAATATTAATCTGTATTTACTAAAATGTAGGGTTAAAATATTTAATAAAATAATAATTAGATTAGAATAATAATATTAATCCGTATTTACTAAAATGTAGGTTTGGAATTTTTAATGTATAGGATAATTAGATTAGAATAATAATATTAATCTGTATTTACTAAAATGTAGGGTTAAAGTATTTAATAAAATAATAATTAGATTAGAATAATAATATTAATCCGTATTTACTAAAATGTAGGTTTGGAATTTTTAATGTATAGGATAATTAGATTAGAATAATAATATTAATCTGTATTTACTAAAATGTAGGGTTAAAATATTTAATAAAATAATAATTAGATTAGAATAATAATATTAATCCGTATTTACTAAAAATGTAGGTTTGGAATTTTTAATGTATAGGATAATTAGATTAGAATAATAATATTAATCTGTATTTACTAAAATGTAGGGTTAAAATATTTAATAAAATAATAATTAGATTAGAATAATAATATTAATCCGTATTTACTAAAATGTAGGTTTGGAATTTTTAATGTATAGGATAATTAGATTAGAATAATAATATTAATCTGTATTTACTAAAATGTAGGGTTAAAATATTTAATAAAATAATAATTAGATTAGAATAATAATATTAATCCGTATTTACTAAAATGTAGGTTTGGAATTTTTAATGTATAGGATAATTAGATTAGAATAATAATATTAATCTGTATTTACTAAAATGTAGGGTTAAAATATTTACTAAAATAATAATTAGATTAGAATAATAATATTAATCCGTATTTACTAAAAATGTAGGTTTGGAATTTATAATGTATAAGATAATTAGATTAGAATAATAATATTAATCTGTATTTACTAGAATGTAGGGTTAAAATATTTACTAAAATAATAATTAGATTAGAATAATAATATTAATCCGTACTTACTAAAACTATTTGTAAATTGTACTAGCCATGGACATTGGATCATCTTCTTCCTCCCAATCTACCTCAAAGAAGCTACGGCAGGGACCCAGAGACAGTAGTTTGTTGTTTTCCCAAAACGCCCATAGGTCACACAATATATTCCATGGTGCACAGTATGATATAGGGATTTCGGAGCCCAGGCGCGTAGATAGCGCCGCGTGGAAATTAATAAAAGATGCACCGAGGTTGACAAAGGAATATATTGAGAAATTTGGTTTTGGACCGTTCTCTAGAGTTGGGTCCATCAGATGTGACCATGCCCTGCTTATGCTCTTGTGGAGCGATGGCGCCCAGAGACCCATACATTTCATTTACCTTTTGGGGAGGCTACTATCACACTCCAGGACGTCGAGGTTCTTTTGGGCCTTCGGGTTGATGGACGTCCAGTTACAGGACATCACACCACGCCTGATGGTGGTTGGGCAGCCTATTTGGAGAGGATGTTTGGATTTAGGTTCCGGACACGGGAGTCTAGATTGACGAGTGTTTCCATCATCGAAATAAAGACTCACATAGAGAATAATCCTTTGACGGACTGTCCCTCGACGATGCACACCTACGGTGAGCCCGTTGTTTCGTTGGATGGCTCGTTGGCGGATTCTTGTTCTCAAACACTACGAAACAGCTTTTCCTCTCGATCTTGTGTATTTTCTTCATACTCCCGAGATTTGCTCGAGTACGGTTGGGGTAGTGCGGCACTATGTTACTTGTACCGCAAAGATGTCCAGTCATCTCTCGCCGCTTCGCCAAGGCTATTACCATTTGTGTGATTCTTCTTCGTATTTTATCTTTTCATTTCTCTCTAGTTTCATTTTATATTCTCCCATTATTATTGGTGATTTTAGCTAATGATTTCTTCATTCTGAATTAGCTCTAGGCCTGGGAGCGGATTTTGACGGTTCAGCCCAAGATACTGGGTGGGGATCTCGATCTATCTGATTGTCCATTGGGCACGAGGTAATCTTATACATCAAACCTTCGTAAATTTTGACATTTTGATTTGTACTGTCATGTCTCAATTTAATGTTACTTTCTCCGTGCAGGTGGTCCCGCGAGAAAAAAGTTCAAGGTATCACGCGGTTCAATTTGGCCGCGTACCGGGATCAGCTTGCAGTTCTCGCAGAGTCTGATGTTAGTATTCTATTCAATTAGTATAACTTATGTTTTATTCGTTTTTTTTAACGGTGCCGAACTTTTAATTACACGTCTCTTACTTAATTACCATTGCAGTTTGTCTGGATGCCGTACACGACTCTTTTGGGTCGTATTGCCAGGGTTTGTCTTGTGGGACAGGGCATATGGCGATCTCAGACATGGCTCATCTGCGGTGACGTCGTTACGCCACACAACCCCAGTAGGGTATTTCGCCAATTTGGTTATCACCAGCGGATACCCGGCGACGCATTACTTCTCACCGCGGCGGAAATTACTAGCCTGCTCAAGAGGAAGCCGTTTGGAGGATCCGATAGGAGATGGTTACAACAACTAGGGATATATCTCCGTGTTTGGAATGATCGCCACGGCCAAGTTGTGGGGACTGATGATCTTTATGTTGGCGAGCCTTCCGCAGATCCGGAGTATCTCTTGTGGTACCATCAGTTTTGTGAAGTATGTTACGGATCCGACGGACTCTAAAAATGCGAGGGTTTTCACGGTTCTGCGAGACCTTGCGCCTCATGGTGAGTATTTCGCCTACGATCCATTTGGTTCTTTTTATTAACACCGTTGTCGATTTATGATTCTTTCTAATAAAAATTTCAGGCCACATTGATGGAGGACGTTCGTAGTCTGAGTATTATAGGCCAGCGTACTTTCGACGCGGACTCCTTTGGTTATGATCGCTTAGGCGAGATTGCCCAGGTTGCTGAGCGGGCGTTGTCCGTCAATGTAACAAATATTGTACGTCACGATCTCGATAGGCATGTTGAGGTTCATGACATTTTGAGTCAAGAACTTGCACCTGTAGACCCGACCCAGCAACATCCACCACCCAGACCTCCGAGGCGTTCGCGCAGGTCTCAGCGTGGGCGTGGGGGGCAAGAGACAATCACAACATCTCAGCCACATCAGTCCTCCCAGCATGAGCAGTCTCATATTCCCTTCACTGGCGGTTCATCCCATCAGTCTCCCCATCAGTCTCCACATCAGTCTCCACTCCATTCTCGACAGCATTCAGCCCATCAGTCTCCACATCATTCATCCCATCAGTCTCCACATCATTCTTCGCCGACCCATCAGGCGTTTTACCGTCCGATTATGTCTCCCCAGCACCAGCAGTCCAATTTTTCCTTCACTCAGTTTTCCTCCCCTCAGACTTCTCAGCGTCAGTTTGGAGATTCTTTTATTGACTTTTCTGGGTTTCAGCAGAGTTCGCTAGATGGCCAGTCGATACATTACACGAGTAACTTTCTTTCGAGTATGTTCGAGGGTGTTGCGGGTCAGCATCAGGCTGATAACCCAGCTGAGGGTGAGCGTGAGAGTCAGGGTGAGGATGAGGCTGAGGATGAGGCTGAGGATGAGGATGAGGATGAGGATGAGGCTGAGGATGCAGACCAGGATGATCAGTTTGAGGGTCAGGGTTATCAGCGCCATGAGGAGCAGGGATCGAGTCAGACTCTAGGGACTCCACCGTTGGCTGTGAGTAAAGGCCAGAGAGTGACGAAGGAGCCCGATAGATTGACTTATAGCCTTTTTCGGGCTAAAAAGCCCAAGAAGAAGTAGGGTACTAGACTTCTTATGTAGTATTATTAGACTTGTATTTTTTTTTCCCTTTTGTTCATTTCTGTTTTTTTTCCTTTTGTTATGACTTGTTTTATTTTTTTTTACCTTTTGTTATGACTTGTAGTATTTTGTTATGACTTGTATTAATATTCTTAATAGTTTGATTTCACCGCATCGTAAATACAATAATTAATATTTATAAAACACATCTTCGCCGATCAAATCGAAACACATATTTAAACTTTCTTATATTTTTTTCATAATTAATAGTTGCTTCATCTTAAGTGTTGGTAAATTAAAATAAATATTTAATAAAATTTATTCTTATTTTAAGCTTTTTCTTATATTAAAACCATCATAATTAATAAAATTAATTTGTAAATTAAATTACATCTCATTAAATCCATAAAATTACGTAATTATCATTATTGAAAATTTTTCATATAAAATTATTTTTAAAATAATGATTACATTTTTAATAAAATTTTTAATATAATCATTATTAATTTTTTTATATAATGTTCTAAAAATTAATACATTATAATAACTATATCATACTTTTAATAATTTATATTTAGTATAGCTCTATTTTATTTAATGAGTATCAATTATAATATTATATTCTTATTCAAAATTTAATTTTCGTATTATTAAAATTATCAATATAATTTTCCTCTTTATAGCTCTATTCAAAATTTAATGATTAACAGTTATAATTTTAAAATTTTCTGTTACCATTATTCAAATTTAATAATTTTTTGAAGTCAATTTCCCTATAACGTTTTAAACTGTCAAATTAATCATATTTTTATGCCTATTTTCTTTTTTTATTAAATAAAATGTTTTTTTAATTGATTTCGCGTTTTCAAAACGCGAAATCTTATTGATTCAAGTTAATTAATTAGGATTATGTTAAATTAATTTTTTCTCCTTCTTTTTCGCGTTTCTGAAATGCGAAAAGTATATATTCGCGTTTTTAAAACGCGATTTTGTGTTTTTAGCGTTTTCAAAACGCGAATTTTTATTTTTTCGCGTTTCTGAAGTGCGAGAAAACTATTTTTGGCTACAATTTAAACCCTAAACATATTTTGTTCTTCATTTTTTTTTTCAGATACTAATAAGTAAATTTTCCCCACCCCAAGACAACTGAAAACCGGAAAAGTTTTTCGGGCTTTGGATTGTGTGGACGTGGTGATGAAACAGGAATTCAAGGGATGTGATGAATGCTTTTCGGATGAATCAAGTCGCAGCAGCTGCATCACTGAAGAAATTAGAAGAAGGCGAAATCTTTTTAGGCAGTTGCTGTAAAACAATTTGATTTGTAATTTTGTTTCAATGATGTAATAGATAGTATATGTATTTGAGGATTAATTGCTGAGATTATTTTGACTTCTGTCATGTATTCCCTGCTTCTAGGTAAAACTTTGTATGAATGAATGATCATTCTCTTCATTTTTCGATGAACTTGTAGTGGAGATCCAAAGACCAACATCTATAATGTATTATTATTTCTAAAGTTCATAATCAAATGGTTTTTTTTTTTTTTTTTGTTATTTACTACAATCCTGATTTCCACCATACTCATGCCCCATACTAACGCTAATGCTGTCCTTGAACGCTTCCAAGTTGGATGGTCTCTTATTGTCGAACCAAAAACTTCTAGAGATCTTAAAGTTGATCCAGTGGTGTTTAAAATTATTTCTCATGGATCCGGTAAATTCTAGCATACATGACAAATTTGCCCTTTTGATAAGTCATACCATCCAGGATTTGACTTCTAGTATGTCAATTCATTTATGATAGCTCGCTGAGCTACAAAAATAGTGTCGCCTGGACAGTTTAGCCTTCGTACCTTGCAAGTGCACTAACTACTCTGTAATAAGTCATAATATTATAGGAGCTTCAACATAGAAAAAGATGTAACAGAAAAAGGAGTGAAACTTGCGTTCTAAATGGTTATTTAAAAGCAAGCAATAGTCTAAATGCCAACAACTTCTAGCGATCTTCTGGCTGCACTGCAAGACGTGAATCATCTCGCCAAGGAAAGTAGTCTTCTGGCAGCAGGGTCAAATTCTACACTCAATAAAGCCGCTGAAAGAAGTGAAATTGTTAAGAATCAGGCTCAGCGGCGGAAATGGTAATGGTATTTATAGCTGTTTTAGTAAATGTTAAGGCAAAAACAACCCGGAGATCGTCTTTTGGAGATGCTCAGTGTCAGAAAGAGTTCTTTTAATATTTTTAAAAGAACTTTAAAAGAACTCTATTTCGTTCTTCTTCTGGAGATGCTCAAAACTTAAAAAAGAGTCAGAAAGGTGCCTAACGCACTGTGGATATGGTTGGGGCTGGTCAAATTTTTGACGATTTAATCATCTGCACATAAACATTTCAGATTTTTTTTACAAATTCCCAAATGTATTCTAAAATGAGCATCAGGCTGCTAGTTTTTCCAGTTCCAGGTATAAGACTGTATGAGGTTCACTACTGAGGTATTAATGATGGAATGTAACTCACTCTTTATACCATAAATTGCTCTTTATTGAATGAACATAGTTATTTTCACTAAGGCAAACGAAATCAAAATTAATTTGCTATGAGAAATTGAGCTGGAAAACGAAGGGCAGATTTTTTGGAAATGCATAACCAAAACCTTAGCAAAGAATAACATATTAAACGGGGTGGCTTATCTGTATTGATCCGACAGCTTAAAACTAAGGACTCTTTTCCCAGTTTCACATTTTTTTTTCTTTTTTACAAATTAGATTGACCACTAAGCATGGGAGAGCTTTCCTTCCGAAATGAGACCGACTAGGCTCGGTGCGGTTTAGTCTGAGTGCAATTAACTTAGAACACCTTGCGCAATATGAAAAAAAGAAGAAAAAATTGACCACTGAATTTTTTCACACTTCACTTTCATCCCAAATGAACGAACAAGTTGAAACCATATCTCTGGCTCTGTTGGAAACATTTTAACAATATTTGACTGATGACTTTTTCCTTAGGCTCTTCTCCATTATATAGTAATTTATGTACAATCTATCTTAGGTAAGCTTCTAGTCTACCGTCTTATCTACTCCTAAAACACAGCTCAGAATATTTATAATTAATGGTCAGCCATAAGTTACTCCTTTTTAATTCCTGAATACCAGCCATAATATACTCCATGATATCTGCCTTGTTATCCCCCCTCAAATTGATGCTGGATGATCAAGAAGCATCAATTTGTCAACTAGGAACTGATGTCGATTCGAAGAAAGAGCTTTAATAAACACATCTGCAGTTTGAAGAGCTGTGGGAATATGTGGAAGAGAGACGATAGAATCATCGTATGCTTCACGAATAGAATGACAATCTACCTTGATATGCTTAGTGCGTTCATGAAAGACCGGATTAGCAGCTATTTGAATAGCACTAGTGTTATCAGCGTGAAGAGGAGTAGGCTTAGTTTGGGGAAATCCAAGCTCACCTAGTAACCTATGAAGCCAATTGATTTCAGAGCATGCAGAGGACATAGCTCGATATTCAGACTCAGTAGATGACTTAGACACACGATCTTGTTTCTTGCTTTTCCAAGAAATAAGAGAGTTACCAAGAAACGTACACCCACTAGTGACAGAACGCCGCGTATCAGAATACCCAGCCCAATCAGCATCACTGTATGCAACTAATTTAATGGGGGAATTGGCTGGGAAGAAAAGACCACGAGTAGAAGAGCCTGGTAAATACTGAATAATGCGACGGATAGCAGCCAAGTGAAGAGTAGTAGGTGCTTGCATAAACTGACGAACTTGTTGAACAACAAAAGTAACATCTGGTTCGAGTAATAGTCAGATAGTTTAGGCTACCAACAAGTTGTCGATATAAAGAAGGATCTGGTAAAAAAATCACCATCGTCACGTCGATATTTGACATTGACTTCCAACGGAGTTTCAACTGAACGGCTTTATTGAAGGGGAGCCAAAGCAATCAAATCTTGGATGTATTTATGCTGGTGTATAACTGTTCTGGTTGAGGTAGATTGCACTTCAAGACCTAAAAATACTGTAAAGAACCCAAGTCTTTCAAATGAAAAGCACTCTGAAGTCGGTCTTGAAGTTGGGAAAATCAATTTAGTGTCTCTCCCTGTAATGACAATGTCATCAACATATACCAAGAGTATGACAATTCCCTTTGCAGTCTTGTAAAGAAACAAAGATGAATCATAGCGACTCTGAAGAAAGGAGAAGCTAAGAAGTGTAGATTGAAACTTATCAAACCAAGCACGGGGAGGCTGTTTCAATCCATAGAGTGAAGGCTTAAGCTTACAAACATCAGAAGATGGTGTAGATAATAATCCTGATGGTGGAATCATGTAAATATCCTCTTTAAGATCTCCATATAGAAAAGCATTTTTAACATCCATTTGCCTCAACGACCAGCCCTTAGAAGCAGCAATAGCAAGAACAAGCCTCACAATTGTCGTCTTTGCTATTGGAGCAAATGTTTCCTCACAATCAACCCCATACTCCTGTCTGTTCCCAAGAGCTACCAATTGTGCTTTATGTCTTTCAAGCATCCCATCATATCGTAGCTTAAGAGAATATACCCACTTATATCCTATGGGCTTAACACCAGTAGGACAAGAAACGATATCCCAAGTATGATTCTCTTGAAGTGCTTGAAGTTCCTCTTCCATAGCCTTTATCCAACATACTTGTGTTTTGGCCTGAGAGTAAGAAGTAGGTACACTAGTATTAGCTAGAACAGCAGAAAAGCTAAACTGTTCAGTAGGGTGGCTGATGCGAGAAGATCTACGAAGAATAGCTGCAGATGGATCAGGATTTTGAACTTGTGTAAAAGAATGGCGTCGTTGGTAAACAATGTCGGGCTTAAAGCGCTCAATTGTTGGCTGTTGAGACAAGTGCTGAACTTGATGGCTATCATCAAAACTGGGAAGGATAACCCTACTGGAAGGAGAGATGTGTTGTTGAAAATAAAACTCATTTTCAAAGAAAATGACATTG